TAAACTGAATTGAAAAACTAGAATTCTAAATTTTAATTAATTAATTTTTCCATTTAATTCCAAAAATTCACACTCCTATATATAGGGCAAAAGTTCTCTGTCTGCCGGTAAATGGTTGTCTACTATTTGAAGTTGCTTAATATTAATTTTTGTTACATCTTTGGTTTATTCATCTATATCTATATCTATATCTATATTTATATCTATATCTATACTATATTAAAAACACGAACGTCCTTAGCGAAATATCGTTCGCCTATTTTACCCTTTGAAAATAAAGTATACACTAGACAAAATAGTCATTTAACTATTTTCCTAATATCTATGACTTTAAAATTACCTAAATTTCAATATTATCTTTTTCCTTATTTAAACTATATAATATACCATATTTATAAAAGACATACCAGCATAATCAATGTAAGAAACTAGCGTGTACTAGAACTCATTCAAGGTTTAGGAGTGTTGTCTTTGTTTTAGAATTATTGCCGGTTAATTCTTTAGAATTTTACTATTTTAGTAAAAAATAAAAGAAAATTAATTGAAAGAGAATAAATATAAATTATTACTCTTTTAGTGTGAATATTTTAAAGGTTATTCACTATTCTCTTTACAACAAATAACTTAAAGTAATGAAAGGGTGCATGTGCATTAAAATTTACCAATAAGTAATAGATTTAATTTTAGGTCCATAATTGTTGAAGTTTCCTATACATGGTAAATCAAACTTATAAACCTAACATGATGAGTAAAAAAATATATATCTATAAATAAGTTTACCAAAGACAACAATGCAATTATTAAAATAATTACAATTATATTATAGTAATAATAAACTATAATGTATTTTAAATTTTTCGTTGAAGTTATACATGTTAAAGCACAAACTCGGTTAGATAATTGAAGTATAAATAAGAAACCAAAATTTATATATCTAAATTAATGGTAATAAATTGTACCTTTTCTTTATAAGAAATTGAAGGATACAATAGTAAAAAATAAAGTATATTATAAATAAGTCGTCATTTTTAATGTTTTCCTTTTCTGACATCCAGTCCTACGAATGCTAATCTCACTATATTTTTTATATTAAACTATTTATAGTAGTTATTAACTCAATCGTAATTACTTTTATAACTTTATAATATCAAGTTTATACATATTGAAGTCTCATGTACATCGCAAACCAAACCTATAAACATATTAGGAACTATCTATAACTAAGTTTAAAAATGACAAGACTATATTTGAAAATAATATAATTATAGTAATAATAACTATAATGTATTTTAATATTTTTGTCGAACGTATATATGTTAAAGCTCAAACGCAATCAGATAAGTGAAACATAAATAAGATAAATTTATATATCGAAATTATACTAATAAATGATATGTATTTTTGTAAGAAATTTATGAATGAAATAGTAGGAAAAGATATATTTTAAACAACTTGTCATTTTTTTCGTTGCATTTAGTCCAACAAATGACAATGCCTAGATCTATTTTTTTATTAAATTATTTATTATAAGATATTAATTCAATCACATTCATTTTTTAGACTTTACATTGTCAATATTAATTTTTGGAGCTATAAGACTAACCTTTTATTCTCTTTTGTGTTTTGTTTTTAGTATTAAGTCATTAAAATAACAATAATTTTCATGAGATCTCACACGTACTCATAAATCACAATAAATCATCTAAAAACTTTTGTCGGCCAAGATTTCTTCATTTATTGAGTTAACTAAATGGAAACACCATTCAACAGTTCCAAGAATATTCCTTTAACTTTTATTATATAATTTAAAATTAGTCAAATATATAGTCGAATAATATTTACGTAATTTTTTAAAAATTGTGTACTCATTAATATAGGTACACGCGCAACGCGAGTACCATAAAGCTAGTATTTTAAAATTGGCAAATAATCTATTACGTTTTCTTACTGTGTCAACGATTCGATGTAGCTGTTTATTTTATAAAATTTATATCAAATCAATTTTTTGGTTACTTTATTTTGTATAACTAAAATTAAATTTTTGAAATCGGCTAAATCATGTCAATTTCTCTTTGGTATCAACACGATTAAGTTAATATTTGGTATTTTTTTTCATAAATGTTATGCAAAAATCACTAATAGAAGTTAAAGCGTGATAACATGCGTACTTGCATAAACAATAACAATAAAATTAGTATAATCTCAGAAGTGGGGTCTGGGGAGGGTAGTGTGCACGCAGACTTTAACCCTACCTTGTAAAAGTAGGGGGCTATTTCCGAAACGCTAAACAGGGAGAACAAGCGTACTTGTATAGGACTTTCGCAAAGCCATTTAGATATTTTTACTGTTTAAAAGTTGATGAATCAAGGAAACATAAAAGATGGCTAAAATAAAAATCAAACTCACTATTCTATAGCAGCATAAAATAATTAAGCAAAGATAAGAGAAATATGAACCACACAAGTTAAAAATACATTAATCAAGCTGAGACTCAAGAATAAAGCATATTGGAAGATTAAATATCCAACAAGAGAAATCTAAATCGAGAGAAAAGATATTCAATAACTTTGTGACTTGCTACTCAAGATCGCTAGAATATCATTACCTGTTGGCTTGTAGTCGTTTCCATAATTTTAAGGCCCAAGGAAAAAAATTTAATATCTTGTTATTTTTACACTGAATATGTAAAATATATTATAATATAAATTTATTCTGTATAGTTTAATATTTACGATTTATTATATAAAATTTAAAAAATATTATAATTATTCGAGATAATTATAAATTTATATAAAAATCTAACATTTTATTAAAAAAAAAAATTAATAACTAATTCAGTACGGTTCAATCAGCTTAATTAAGATGGGTGAAAAAGAAAATTAGAGCAAACATTAGATTTTTTTTTTTCTTTTCCCCTTACAACGGGATTAAGATAAGACCAAAGGACCAAATTTTTTGATTTTCCGTGAATACCCCTCTATATATATATTCCAAAATTTGCATTTTTCGTTTCTGTTTCTTTTTTCATTTTTTTTTCTTTTCGTTTTCCGTTTTCATTTTTTCTCTTTTCGTTTTCCGTTTTCAAAGTCCTTTCGTCGCCTTTTCCTTCTCAGATTACAGAGGAATTAGACAGGTACCAGGAAATGACTTATTTCTTCTATTTGTGGTTTTAGATTTTAATTTTCTTTTTTTTCCATTTTAATTTCCGGAATTTTCCTTTTTTGGATTGCTTTTTGTGATTTTGTTTGCTAATTTGTGTACTTCGTGTGTTCGATCTGTTATTCCTGTTGCGTGAGAGGTGTTTGATTAGAATTTTATGGTGTGATCTGAACTGGGTTATTGAGGAAATTAAAACTGGAAAATTAGTTTTATTACTTTAATTGTGTAACGGGTTTGGTAGAGGTATTGGTTTTCTAATGGGAAGATTTCGATTTAATTGGTTAATTTGTAGTTTGATTGCATAAATCGTGAAAACACTTTGGTAGGTTATTTGGGTTTTGCTATATAAAGAGGAAAGATTGAGAGTGACAATAATACATGAAAAGCTAGAAGAGAAGTTCAACAAGCAGTCACCTACACTAGCAAAGATAACTTAAGAGGTTAACCAATTAGAACTAATAATTTAAAACCAATACAATGTCGGAGACAAGCTTGATATATTAATATGTTTAGAAGTTTCACATAAGGCACTAGTATTTTCAACTCTATATACTGTTTTTAGGTCACCGTACTTGCTCAATGTCTATGTTTTCTTATATTGCATTTACTTTAGTCCTGTTGTAAGTAGAGTGCCATGAGAAGTGAAGAATTAGATACCAAAATCAAAATTACAAAATAAAATGGTTGTCTTGTTTCAATATGATCTAGATGTACATGGGGATATGTCCTCTTGATTTTATTCTTCCGAATTTGAAGGACTCCATATCATATTCAAGTGCTTTGTGTTCTTTTCACTTTTTAATTGACTATTAAGGAAGATATAAAAAAAATATCATGGTATGCATTGCATTAGTTACACTTACACATGTACGAATCTATAAAAACACAGGAAGAATGAGACTTTAATAGATGCTAATTAACTAAAGCATTAACATAATATGGTTTAGATTTTGCTATTTAGTGATAGAAAAAATTGCAAAACTTAAACACAGTTATACCATTTCTGGTGACTTTGCTTTCTTCGTCGCCAGTTTCTCATTCTTTAATTCTTTAATTCCAAGCTTTGCAAGGAAAGATCCATTTGTTTTAGAGCAACTTACTTTAGATCGTCATACAAGCACGTTGTATTATTTAAAACAAGTTTTATATCTTCTGCTATTTGTTTGTCCAAAGTTTGTCAATCTAGCACTCATACATGCTTGTAAATAGTCGTGACTGTCCCTTTTCGGCATATTCACTTATGCCCATATACAAATATGTTTTCAGAGTAGTTTCCTATATGTTATTAGGTTGTTTCGACTGCCTAGTTTCTCGTACATTTTGCCGTTTAGACTACCTAGTTTCTCGTATGTGATTGTGGCGCTCAGAACCGTCGAGATTTTTTGATACAATTGGAACAACTCTAGTTCATGCGAGTTTCTAGGACTCTCCCACCTTGGACATTCTTTTCACAGTTCTCTCTGGTGTCGTACTTTCTCTCTTAATTGAATCAGTTTGCCTTGCATATATTTTCTTCTGGATCAAGCTGTGTTTCATCCTTAATGGTACACTTAAGAATTAAGTCAAGGAAGAAACAAGGTTTAATGCAAAAGAAAGTATGGTTGCATTTTATGATTTTATCATAAACTCGCTTATGGTGCAAGCTACACTGATTTAATTAAGAAAAAACGTAAGATGCCTGAGAAAGTTATGGAAGGAGTCCTTGAAAACCGTATGACGTGGAGTTGTTCCACTTGTGTCTGAAAATCTGGATGGTCTATGGGTGCTAGAATCATGTACATGAATCTAGCAAGCTAAGCAATCTGGATGTCAACATATATGGGAAACTAAACCGTCGAAACAACCTAACATATGGTAAACTAGGAAGGAAAACATACTGGAAAATGATCGTAAGTCACAACAGTTAATCATACTGAAAATGGGACAGTCAGGATCATTTATAAGCTTATAATGAGTACTAGATTGGCAAGCTTTAGATAAACGAATAGCAGATGAATTAAAACTTGTTTTATATATTGTTGCACGCTTGCGTAGTATCCAAATCAAGTTGCCTCTAAGACCGTTGGCTTGGAATTAGGGATTAAGTATGGGGAGCTGGTGGCGAAGAAATCGAAGTCGCCAAAAATGGTATAATCGCATTCAATTTTGCAATCTTTTCTTATTATTGAATAGCACACTTTAAATTATGCTATGCTCATGCCTTAGTTAATCAGATACCATATATGTTTTTTCCGTGTTCCGCCCTAATGGTCTATTATGGAAAGTGGATAAAACAATTGGACAGGATATGAAGTCATTAATTTTTGGAAGAATGAAATTAAGAAGATATATCTTTTATGTACATATGCATCAGAATAGTTACCAAGGAAATCTTCCTATCAATACTAGTTTCATAATTTGATTCAACTTTGGTATCTAATTCTTCCATAGGGAACTTTCAAACAATTTTTATCATTTGCATGGGACTCCAGTTGCAACAGGCCTACTCTGAATATAAGAAAATTTGAAAAATAAATAAGAAATAGTGAAGTGTGAGTATGGACCTAAAAACAGTATATAGAATCGTAAATGCCAGTGTCTTGTATTTAACTTCTAACATATCAAGTTTGCCTCGTCATTATATTGGTTTAAATTAACTAACTAGTTAGCCTTTGTAGGTATTTTTGGGCTGGTTGCTTGTTGAACTTCTCTTCTAGCTTCTCATGTAGTATTGTCACTCTCTTCTCAATGAATCTAAATCTTCTCAACTTGTGATAAGACTAAAATGGTATGCAAGCTGGATTCCTTAAACAGGGATCCAACGTAACTACACAGGCCGAAAAAGAAAGAAAGGTACATGAAGCAATTAGCTAAAAACAAGTATAAGAACTTGGCCAACTAATTAACAATCAAATACAAGACTCAATCCAACTAAGTAGGGTCAATAAAGGAAGTCTATCACATAAGGTTCTTTTTTCATGTTGATTATCGTTTTCTTCTATAGTGTTTGCACAAAGATCATCAATATCAAGCCCAATTGTCGAGGACACAATTCAAGTCAACTCTGTCTCTCATTTTCTGAACTTTTGTTTTTATTTTTACTTTCTCTGAAGTTGTTTTTCTCCCTTAAATTCTGAAGATTTTTTTCTTTCGGCGTCAAACTTTTGGTTGCAGGGTTGAATTTGAGTTCGGAGATGTTAGAGCAGTTACTGATATTCACTAGAGGGGGTTTGATCCTCTGGACATGTAAAGAGCTTGGAAATGCTCTTAGAGGCTCCCCAATTGACACATTGATTCGTTCGTGTCTTTTGGAGGAACGTTCAGGTGCTGCATCATACAATTATGATGTTCCTGGAGCTGCATACACTCTTAAATGGACTTTCCACAACGAACTCGGGCTTGTTTTTGTTGCTGTCTATCAGCGGATTCTCCATCTTTTGTATGTGGATGAGTTGCTTGCTATGGTTAAACGTGAATTCTCTGAGATTTATGAATCCAAAAAGACTGTATACAATGAATTCGATGATATTTTCCAGCAGCTCCGGAAAGAGGCCGAGGCTCGTGCTGAGGATATCAAGAAATCGAAGCCGGTGACAAAGCCTGTCAACAATAATCTTGGTAAGAAGCAAGGCCAGGTGCAAAAGGGTGGTACTAATGGAGGCAACAATAAAAAGGGTGGTAGTGACTCAGGAAACGATGGTGGAGATGGCGATAAAGTGAAAGGGGATGTTAAGGAGAATGGGCATTCTAACGGAAGTATTGTAAATGGAGTAGTGCAGGTTAACGGTAAAGAGAACAGGAATTCCGCTGCTGGGGCTTTTGATGTAAATAAGCTACAGAAGCTCAGGGTTAAAGGTGGAAAGAAAGCAGATACTGTTGTAAACAAAGGCTCCAAGGCAGAGCCTACAAAAAAGATAAAGAAGAATCGAGTTTGGGATGATTCACCTTCTGAGCCAAAATTAGATTTCACAAATCCTGTGAGTGAGAATGGGAATGAGAATGTGACAGTTGTGGCAGCAGAACAAGGTGACAGTATGATGGACAAAGAGGAGATATTAAGTAGTGATAGTGAGACCGGGGATGATGAAGAACCATGGAAAGACAACAAGGTTGAAGCAAAGAAGAAAGGCTGGTTCTCATCCATGTTCCAGAGGTAAATTCTCATCCACGGTTGATAGCAGGACAGGTCAGGATCATTAAATTGCTATCCAAATGCTTTGGTTTTGTTTATTACTTTTGTTTATGAGGTTTGCATCAGTTGTTCTTCTCCTGTTCACTCGAAGAGAAAAGTACATTCAGGAAATCTCATTTAATTGATGACGGTGTCAATATTTTTTCAGAAAGTTTTAATATCACTGAATTTGACCCTTAAATTATCTTTTGATACCGTAGGATGTGTTAAGGAGTTAAAGTTTTGATTACCCTTTAATGCCATTTCGCGGTTAGTTTCTCTGAAGGGATCCAAATTTTTTAATTATAGACTTGCTTAAGACAAAAGAAGTATACAGTTATTTACATTCTCTCTACTTTGTGAATTAAATTTGATTCGAGTCATAAGAAGCAGAGAAAATTAGGGAAACACATGAATCCAGTTTCAGTTCCTACTTTTCATTGTACTGCATTTGATTTATATAGAATATCCAATTTTCAGTCATCTGAATTTCTATCTCACTATGGATTACTGGCTCACCTAAATAATTANCCCCAGCTCTTCCAATTGTAAAGTAAAAGAGAGATTTCCTTTAGTAGATGACCAAATTTCTCTCAGAGGCTTTCATGTTAAACTTGGTTGACCAGTTTTGTGCATATTTTACAGGCTGAGGAAATAGCTGAAAAGCTGTGTGAATCAGTTGCAGCAAGTCTGGAGGGTAAAAAACTTACCTCATTTACAAGAATATCTTCAACAGTTCAGGTAAGCAAGTAGGAACCTCTCATAATTTTAGAAAGTGCAATGTCTTAATACTAAGCTTTAAAGGGTGGCAAATGATGTGGTGTAATCCCAAATTAACTGGAGTTGGTTGTATGAGTTCTCTACATCCATTCCGTTCCATTTGGGGCCATTTCATTCCACTACTCAATAAAGACAAATTAGGAACTCCAAAATGGAGACATCCATTCTATGCCGATGATATCATTTTCTCAAAAAGAGTTAGTCTAGATATGTGAATTTTCTTAAAGTAGGCATCACAATCCCGTCTAATCTTACCTCAATGTCATTCTTCTTTTACTGGCTAAACTTGCAATGCAGGTATTCTGTTGCACTCCTACTTATTCTAAATCTACTCGGTAGAGTGCTATTTGTGTACGATATCGTTCTCTACATCCATTCTTTGCCGATGATATCATTTTCTCAAAAAGAGTTAGTCTAGATATGTGAATTTTCTTAAAGTAGGCATCACAATCCCATCTAATCTTACCTCAATGTCATTCTTCTTTTGCTGGATAAATGTCACAGGGGTGATTTGTGTCACTCGAACTCAGCCCGAGGTTCACCTCCGTGCGGCAGTCAAGCCCAGCCTTGACTTCAGCCTTTCCAACACTTAGTTTTATTTTTAGGGACGTTTGAACTTAGAATGAAAAATAGGCAGCAAAATCTGTAAATAAAGGCACACGATATACAGGAATTTCTTCCCAACTTGTATTAATAAGTGAATACAAGAACACAATAGCCAACCCTATGGCCAAGACAAAGAATTCCCTAATTCCCTGCCCCAAAATGGTTTTCCCACCCTTAGGAAAATGACTTAGACGTATTTGGCTTCACAATGCCTTAGACTAAGTTCTCTCTCTCCGTTTTGGACAGCCTAAGCAAGAATTTATAAGGCTACAATCAGTTGACAAGCCCCAACTGATGGGCAACAAGTTAAGACAAAGTACAAAAACGTGGGCACACTTTTAGGCCATGATCAGCATGTCTTGGAAGAGGTTGCAACTGCCAACTGCTTCCCATGTGCTTGGCACATGTTTTCCAACTGCTGCTTGTGCACAGCATGGTCTGATTTTCGCCCAGCTGCTTTGTGCCAAGGCTGGCATTGCGCCCAACCTTGCCTTTGACACTGCTCCGCGCCAATGTCATTGCCACAACTCGCCGCCCACTGACTTAGCCACACACGTTCATTGTCACAGCTGCCTGCCCAAGTCAAGTCGCCCCCGACTTGATCAAATCTGTCCGTAGCATTTGTCATTGCTTGTCCCGCCTTTTCTTGCCTTGCCTTGCCATGTCTTTGCCCCTGCTTGACATGGCTTTGCCTTGCCATTGTTTTGCCAACCCGCACATCTAAGTAAAATGCGCCTTGCTTCCGTTCAAGGTGCGTTTGTCGAACCCCGCATTGTCCGTCATGCCGAACAGCCCTTCATGATGTTGCCCCATTTTTCAGGTTGTGTGCCAAGGCCATCATGAGAATCCTTGTCACAACCCACACCTGCCGAAGACCTTTGTCAAGGGGCTAACAATAAACTTGCAATGCAGGTATTTTGTTGCACTCCTACTTATTCTAAATCTACTCGGTAGAGTGTTTCTCCAAATTCTAGCTTTTTGTTGGCTTACTTTCTAGTTTCGTTAATTAGCACGATATCGTCCACAAATAGCACTCACCATGGAACCATATCTTGTACACTACTAATTGACTCATTAATATTCAAGGTAAATGAGTATGGCTCAAGGTAGATCCGTAGTGCAAACACACGATTACAGAAATATCCATTGTGTATATCTAACCACACTGTTTTCACAGTTGTGACTGTTCCTTACATATTCTTTGTGGCATTTATTTGTTTGATAGAAATTCCTTATTTAGCCAGCCATGAAAAGATTTATAAGCCCAAAAATCTTTGGATTCTCCTGCTCCCTCGCTCCCCATCCAACTAGGAAAAGAAAGAAGATTCAAAGAGGTATTTAAAACCAGAATAATTGCATGCGGAAACTTGAAATATCTTTTCAGTCCATCTTTTTCCTATGTGGTCTAATCTGAACTCTGAACATATTACTATGGTGTGCTGAATTGATTGAAACAGGCAGCAATGGAGGAGGCTCTTGTCCGCATTTTGACTCCCAAGCGCTCCATTGATATTCTAAGGGATGTTCATGCTGCAAAGGAGCAAGGAAAACCATATGTTGTGGTTTTTGTTGGAGTTAATGGAGTTGGAAAGTCTACCAATCTTGCTAAGGTTAAACTAATATGAGCTTTTGTTTTTAATTATTCAAAGTGCCTTCTTATATTAACTAAGAGGGTTCCATCTGCCATTCTGCAGGTTGCTTATTGGCTTTTGCAGCATAATATCAATGTCATGATGGCTGCTTGTGACACATTCCGGTCAGGAGCAGTTGAACAGCTACGCACTCATGCACGTAGGCTTCAGGTATGTCATGATTTGAAGTCTATGTTTATGGAAATTCTTGATGTTCACTGGGTGGAAACGTTTTACAAGCTGATGACTCGTTTTAATTTTCTGTTTATCAGATCCCAATATTTGAGAAGGGGTATGAGAAGGATCCTGCTATTGTTGCTAAAGAAGCAATTCAGGAGGCTAACCGAAATGGTTCCGATGTTGTTCTTGTCGATACAGCTGGTCGGATGCAGGTAGAATTGAATTTTGAAGCTTCACATCTCAAAGTTACCAACATGTCCAATGTTTCTGGGGCGTGGGGGTCCCTCTACGAGTTCTAGCTTATTTGGTGGAATTTGGTGATTGTATATGTTGTTTCCTTAACCCATTTATTCGTTAGCATTTATTTACACCCAAGATTCATGTTCCACAGGATAATGAACCATTGATGCGAGCATTGTCAAAGCTTATATATGTCAATAGTCCAGATCTGATCCTTTTTGTTGGAGAGGCACTTGTCGGCAATGATGCTGTTGATCAACTGTCAAAGTTTAACCAGGTTTGCTTATACATGGTTATGATACTTTATTTTCATAGTTTCTTTGTATCTGCATCTTATGCTCTATTTGCTCTTGATTTCTCTTTGCAGAAATTGGGTGACCTCTCACCTTCACCAAATCCGAGGTTAATTGATGGAATTTTGCTGACCAAGTTTGACACTATCGATGACAAGGTACATGATCTTGGTCGATTCCATTATAAATATGTTTTGATCTCTTCCTTCCAACAAATACATAGCACCGTTCTTTTTGCTTACCATATGATTAACATTCTTATGTTCATCCTTTTGTTTCGGTCATAGGTGGGTGCAGCGTTATCCATGGTTTACATATCCGGAGCCCCGGTCATGTTTGTGGGATGTGGGCAGTCATATACAGACTTGAAGAAGCTGAATGTTAAGTCCATTGTCAAGACACTCCTCAAATGAGATTTCCATGTCCATCTAAGCCTTTGTTTGGCTTTTAAGATGTTGTCCTTAGAAAAAATGAACACTTTGTAATGCTTGCTGGTGTTTGTTTGTATATACTCTCCCATCTGTGATCTCACTATTTTGANCCCCCCAAACTTTTTTTTTCTTTTCCTCTGCTATTTTAATTTTTGCCGAGTGACTTTCCAATTGAAGAATTAACCCAAATAGTCGTTCACCTAACTGCTTAAACTAAACACAATTGATGGATGTATTATATATGCTTAATCAATATGTAATATATGTAAAACTGTGTATAATCAATGTATGGTTTATGTATATTGGCTAGAAAAAGCAAATAATGAATCCGTTCGGCTATTTGTGTAAAGATCTCATATACTGAACTGAGTTCAAACAAGGTTTTCTATATCAACTTACCCGTCTAAAATTCTTGATATCTTTTTCTAACTGAAAATATTGTTTTATTAAGCTAATAAGCTGGTAAATTGACGTAAAGACTTAAAAAGTAATGGTTCTTAAATGAAATTCATGTAGGGAATTGTTCCTGAAAAGATTTTTTCAGCTAGAAAAATAGCTGGATTACTAGATAAATGAGTATTTGAGTTATCTTTAAATATTTATTATAAATATATTGTGGTTATTGTTAACAACAATCCGTTGTAGTCTAGGTGGTTAGGATACTCGGCTCTCACCCGAGAGACCCGGGTTCAAGTCCCGGCAACGGAATTTCCTTTTTCTTTTACCTATTTTGTCCTCCCTTTTTCTTTTCCTTTTTGTTTTTCAGTTCTAAGTAGGATCCTTGTTGTCTATTTAAGAGTTTCCAACACTCAATATGCTATTTCAGTCAAATAATAAGTGACTCAAATTTACCAACAATATGACCAGAGTACTAAATTCCATAAGAAAGTGAACACTCTTCCCCTTACAATAGATAATATGCAATGAGAAAGTGCACACCTTTTGCAGTGATCATATGTTCATTTTTTTAAAAATATTTATATATATATATATATATATAATGCTGATGCAACTTGCATGTACTTTGACTATTCGACTAACTACTACTTCACCAATACATGTATCCAATCACTCTGTCCACCAAGACTTGACACATCTGCTCAACTTCTAATGCTCAAAAAATTAAATAGGAAAAGCCTTCCTATTATTAATTTCTCATAACTAGCATCTTCAGCCAATGAAATGATAAGAGAGAACTTTAACATTTTACTATAGATTCCACAAGAAAGTAAATACATCTTGTGCATGAATATTACTACTATATATAGTTTCAACTTCATCGCTTTTCCCTGCAATTGCAGTATTAGTTGTTCTATTCAACTAAGCAGCAAATATGTATAATTTAGCCAGTCAAACATATACATACACTTTGTGATCTCCAATCCTATCAATGGTGAGAAGGATGAAATAATGGAAAAAAACACGAAAACTAAGAAATAGTTTGCAGGGCATCCTTTTTCGCAGGGCTATAGCTGCCGTAAATATAAGAGCCAAATCCCCAGAATGTAATAATCAAAGACAGAATCTTGAAACCACTCATAGGATCATGCAACAATATAACAGCAGCAATGCTCGTGACTGGTACTCTTACCGCGTTAAGGACACCGGCCAAAACAGTAGAGGAGAGGAAAACAACTGCAGTGGCTCCCAAGACACCCAACTGAAAAGTGATTATTCCCCAAACAATAACCGAGTAATATGCGTTGGCCCCACCATCGAATGTAGTTGCCTCAGATTTCATTCCATGGAAACCGTTACTTATAACAAGTCCGATTGTTGTAAATATAAAGGCAAAGAGGGAAACCATGAGTTGCTGCTCCAGAACAACAAGAAACGATCTTTTACCGAGTAATTTCACGAAAACCAACTCTGACAAGGCAAAAATTAGACCATGGAGTGCAGATCCCAGTATATCCCACACAAAACCTATAATGTATTGACGGTCGGTGATATATCCATACCTGTCTGAGCTAGAATCAAGAGCAATGATCGTCATGGCAGCAGTAATGATCACGATAGAATTTATAATTGATAGATTGATAATGTTTTTCACGAGAAGATATCCAAATAGTGCAGAAAAAACCAGTGAAGTCGAGGCCAAAAGAGCAGCAGTTGATGCTGGGAGGTAAGCATAGGCATATGCATACATGAGGTTGTCAGCAGCACTCAAGAAACCCAATACAACATAAGATAAAGTTAGTTTTAAGTCAAGTGGCGTCGGGAATACTTTAAGAAAGAAGTACGAAGGAATTAGGACTATCGCGATGAGAGGCCATCCTGCAACTGAAACCCATGAAATTATCCACTTACTCTTCCCACCATTTGCAAAATATATACGGGACAAGAGGCTAGAAGCAGGGAACGCGACAAGCATCCCCATGCTACCTAGAAACAGAAGAATCCAGTGTGAAATTGGTTTGCTGTAATACATTTCACACGCCATTGTCCAATAGGCTGACATTTTTTGCCGTAATGACTTTGGTGGTGCCTCATCCATTATTTCCTCTACAAGAAGCCAGTCATCGTTATACAGAAATGTCAATTTTCAAACACGGCATGAGGAAAGACATTTGATAAGAAGAATGAATCCGAAAATGAATATAAGTAGAATTCAATATAAAAGAGAAACATATATATGGAGTACAGTAACTATAGGATCACAAAATGCTTAACAAAAGGTGCCGTAAACAGGCTTGAACCTTCAAGTACCTTAGTTTCTATATTGCTTGGACTCTCCGAAAATATCATTGGATGTGTGTCGGATCTTCCAAAAGTAGTGAATTTTTGGAAGATCTGACACGGGTGCAACATCATTTTGGAGAGTACACGCAACATAGCTTAGTTTTGAACTTCTTTTGTCTCTTTGCATAAACCAATGTGATGCAGTAATTAAAATACTCAAAAGGGCATCGCGTTTGCGCCTTCACACTGTAACTACGGGTAATTGTTTGAAGTTGCATAGGTTACTAACTATTAACCAATATTATGCATTAACTAAAATACTCTAGTATTAATGACATGGCATTTTCTTAGAGAATTTAAGATTAACTTGATCAAAGAGAAAACGATACCTAACAGTCCTTAAGGTTGTTAACTTGACTTTTGTTTCTATGGAATGTCAAATAACCACTTGAGCTCTGCAGCTTTTCATTTCTAATCTTCCTTTTCTTTTACTTTTTTTTTCTTGCTATCTTCCTTCTCCGATTCGCATATTACCCAGAAAGTCCATATCTTCCTTCCATATTAACCCATAAATTCCATATTTTCCTTTATCCAATTTGCTTAGAGCCTAATATATGAGACAAATAGTACAACCCAAGATTGTTCAGGTACAAACATTTTTTTTCAGTACAATCAATCTCTTCAGCTCAGCCATATCAAGTGCCCAAGATACTAGTTGGTAAAGACAAATCAAAAGCCTAAGAATAAGATATCATAATTGGATTTTCCTCTCGGGCTTTGATCTAGTGGTGAGAGTGGAACGCGTGATGTGTGGGTTAGGTGCGAGTTCGAACCGTGTCGCAGACAAAGCCTAGTATTCACGTGGGGAATGGTAGAAGAGCGGGCCCATTATCTACCGAGTTTCGAACCGTGAAACACTGGCGCTCCAGGATTTCTCGGTTATCCCAACCACCAAAAAAAAAAAAAAGAACTAGCAGAAATAGATTTTAATTTTCCTAGTTAAAGACAAACTTCAGCAAGTATATCCATTGTTCTATGTGGTCTCCTATGTCGTGCCGACTCTCCAAAAATATTGCCGTACCTGTATCGGATCCTCCAAAAATACACTACTTTTGGAGGACTCGAAACGCACTTGGCGACATTTTTGCAGAGTCAGAGCAACAAAGGTTGTCACTACAAAATTAGTTGCTAGAGTTCCCAAATCATAGTTGCCATCAATCCATTCCAAGTTCCAGAAAAACCATTGAGAAAACATCAATCATTTCCCAAGTTTCCAACTTTTACATGTCATTTGTCAAAAGGGTCTGATTATTTAATTGGTAAATTCTTATTCTTTAAGCAACCAATACCTTGAAATAATAAAAAAGAACCCATAATTCAATTATCACTAAAAATTATTTATTTTATACAAATCAAACATACCCCAAAAAAGGACTGGAAAAATGGAAATTCAGATAAAAATTTAACTGACCTGGAACAGAAACAAGCAACGATTGCTGCATGAAGCCAAAATTCAGTGGATAGTGAAGGAAGTTGAGTGGAGCTCAGCCTGAATTTATCCGGGTCGGGTTAACGATATTATGGGTCGACCCGAATTGTTAGTGGGATTCTAGAAATGACAACATCCATAGAAGCAGGAGATAAAATTTATTAATATAGTAAATCATAGTACTACTGTGTTTATGTTCCAAAGAACAACTCATTTCACGTGGTTTGGTGGCTGTTTTTTTTTTAAATGGATATTCTCGTTAGGGGCTTGTTTGGTACGACGGACGAAGGATAATTAATGTTGGGATAAAATTTAAAATGAGTTTATTTCGCGTTTGGCTAGAATAAAAGCACGGTATAATTAATTCCGCGATGGTAGTATTATTTTTATCTCTAAGGGAGGATCAAGGACGGGATAACAATTCCGAGATAACTAATCCCGAGATAATTAATCGTAAGATAACTTATTTCCTAACCAAACGACTTAGGGCTCGTTTCGAATGAGCGATAAGGAATAATTAATCCCGAAGTTAAATTTAAGATGAGTTTATCCCATGTTTGGTGGGAATATAATCGTGGTATAAATAATCCCGGATTGTAGTATGTTTTTTATCCCTATGGGAGGGTAGGATAATTAATCCTAGGATAATAAGTTTCGGGATAATTAATCATGGGATGACATGTTTCCCAATTAAACGACCCTTAGGATTTGATTAATACCTCATTACGACATTGGAATCTGACTAATTCGGATTCGTCATACATAAAACCTATTTAAAAAGAATGATTTTCATATAAAGAAATCCGTATCAAAATACAATCTCGAGACCTCTGATTAAATATTTATATTTATGATTAGTTGAAAGAATTCAAAGAAAAACATGTGAAGGGACCAAAAGGTAAACGTGTTTTGTATTTTCTTCTTTTTATCCC